TTTTAATGAAAGCTTTTTTTTTTTTTTTTTTTGAGGGAACCCCAACTCCCACCTGTCCAGAAACAGTTGAAATCAATTGAAAATAGTTTTAGAGATTCTTTAGATGCTGCCAAACAAGCACTTTGGACTTTTAGAGATTTACAGAAAGGTGTTGAGGTATTATGAAATATTCTTATTTGCAAATTGATCTTCAAAATATACAATAAAAAATATATTTTTATTTATTTTTATTAGCATTTGGATCAAAAAATTAGAATTTTTATGGGAACTTTCAAATATAGCAAATCAGATAGTATTCAAAGAGAAATAGAAGCATTAAGAATAAAATGGACTTCAATTCAGGCAGAAATAAGCAAAGTTCATCATCTTATTAACATAGCTATAGAATGTTTTCAGCTCATAGAAGAAGTAAGATATTAAATTTTTTATTTGATTTCAAGTAATTTTGCATAAAATTTTAATATTTTCTAATCAGAATACTACTGTATAAATATAAATAAATAATTATATAAAGGTTCAAGAAATATTTTGAAAAATCAAAATATTTATCATGTTATAATTAATTTTGTTTTAAAGCTCATTGAAAATTGCCATTAATCACTAATTTTTTTTTACATTTGTATTATGCATCTTTCTTTACCAAATCTATCATGAAGATGGTTTTATGTTATTAAATATGTCCTGGAAATCTTTTTGTTAAATCGTAATAAACATTATTCTTCTTTAATAAAATTTTAGGCCAAAGACTGGTTTAAAGAAGGAAGTCAATTGTTAGTTACTATTGCGCGAAAATCATCATTGTGTAAGACAACTAATGATGCAGAGAGATTATTAAAAGAAGTTGAAGATTTTCTCTCAACAGGCAAAATTAAACAAGAAGAAAGATTTTATAAAATCTCAATACTTGTTCTTCAATTGTTTGGTAAGATACATAAACTTTGGAAATATTTCAGTGCAATTAATTAGACAATAAATTTAATATTTTATTTTTATCTGAAATAAAATGTAATAATATTTTTTTAAAATAATAGAAGGAAAAACTCCTAGTATAGTTCAGCAATTGACAATAAGAAGCAAAGACATGAGCGAATCATTAGAAGTAATTAAAAAAGAATTATATAGTCTTATTGAAAATCTGAAGGCAGCTGAAGAAGAACAAGCAAAAGAAAAGATTATTAAAGTAAGACATTATACAAGGTCTGATCAAAAAGTATCTGACCTGTGGTCAGGGAAAAATACCTATGTATCTGTTAGATTCATACACTAGTTCCCTTCAAAATAGGCCCCTTTTGAGTTCACATACTTCTTCCAACAGTGCTTTCACTGTTAGAAGCATTTTTCAAAGTCACTTATCAGGATCTCCATCAGACACTTTATTGCATTAGTCTTGATCATCTTTGCATCCTGAAATTTCTTTCCTTTGAATGGCATCTTGAGTTTAGGAAAGAGCCAAAAGTTGGCTAGAGCTAGGTCTAGGGAGTAAGGAGGCTGCTGAATGTGTGCAATACCATGTTTTGCAAGGAATGTCTGGATGAGATATGATCTCTGGGCCAGAGCATTGTTATGATGAATGCTGTTAGGTATAAGAGATCACAGCATCTCATAGATAATGTAAAACAGTCAGATAGTACTCCTTTGTCACAGTTTGTCCATGAGAGGCATATTCCTGATGAACTATGCTCTAGTGGTAAAAAAAATCAACATTACCTTCATATTGCTGCATGATTGCTGTTCCTTCTTTGGCTATGGAAACCATAGCATTTTTGACTGGGATGATTTGCCTCTGTTTCAGGATCATACCTAGACCCAAGTGTCATCTCTGGTTATAATTTTCATGAAATCAGGATCTGTCATGTTCTTCCATTTTCACTTAATCACCACCACCACTACTACTACACTGTCACAGCTTCCCTAAAGGGATGGCCAAGAAAAAAGTGTCTTTCCTGCGCATGGCACCCTGCAAGCTTCACTTCTCTAAAGAATGTCATATGGGCAGGGCATAGCACACCAGGAACACTCACCAAACTTTTGCTCTAGAGCTTGCTGAAATGATGCACTTCACCCATATCTGACAATCTTGTGCCATTTCTGTCTATCCATACATACCTCTACATATCCATACTCTCAGTATCCATACATACCTCTTTTGCTTCTTCCACATTCATGACTCTTTTCACACACTCTCAGTATCCTTCTTTCACTCTTTGTCTGTTTCTCTTTTAGACAGTCTTCCACTTACTCAGCCTATCTTTTCCTTAGTCTTCCATACTCTCTCCTTCCCTCCACATTCTTATACACCTTATCTTTTGACATTCTCTCTTCATGGCCAAATCAATGCAGACATCTTTGATGCACTTGCTCAATTGCATCCTCTTTCACATCGAACTACACCAACACTTCCTCATTACTCACTAGCTCTTTCCTTGTCACACTTCATGTATACCTCGAGATCTCATCTCAGCTGCAGTCATTCTGCTTATGCTTTGCTCCCCACACCCATGTTTCACAACCATAAAGCAGAGTTGAGAGGACCATACTCTTGTACATAGCCATACTTGCCTTCTTCAGAAACATATTCTTACAAACCAAATGCCCTGTGCATCCAACCACTTTCATACAAGCATTCACTCATCTTCCAATTCCCTATCTATTCTGCCATTCCTCTCAAGTAAACAAACTAACCTGCTCTATCATCACACCATTCAGCTGTATCTTGCACTCACTCACTTGCTCATCTTTTTCAAACACTAAAACTTTTGTTTTCTCTCAATTTAATGCCATTTTTTTGCAGCTTTCATTCAACTTCAACATAAGATACTGCAGTTAACTTTGGCTTTCAGCCAGTAGAACACTATAATCAGCATATAATAAGTAATTGAACTCTCACAACTCACTTTCACACTGATTTGCTCTTCTTTCTACTGTGTCATATATTGTCCAAGTACAAATTGAATAACCAGAGAGACATCACACATACTTTCATTCTCAACCAGACAATCCTGTCATTAATGCATTCATAAGATTTAAAACACTCTTTCAGACAGAAACTAACATAGAGAAACACTCCACATTTGCCAAATTCTCTTGTATAAACACCAGAAGATGCATGTAAAACCCTCTCACTCATTCAAGCACTTACNTGAAAGTTTTTTTTTTTTTTTTTTGAGGGACCAACCCCAACTCCCAACCTGGAGGACCAAGTTGGGGGTTGGACCCTCCCTTAGTCTGACCCAGGGACGAATTTATATAGGGACTAATAGGGCTTGAGTCCTGGGCCCCCAAGTGTCAAGGACCCACAAAAATTGAATTATTATAATAAATTTTTAATGTTTTTATTAATTCCATTAATTTCATAAATAAATATATTTCAACTCTGATTTTTATGTTATTAAAATGAATTTTAAACCCCAATTTAAAGATTCTTAATCTAACAAAAAAAATGGGGCCCATTGGACTTCAATAAGCCCTAGGCACCCAAAAAACCTAAATCCACCCATGGTTTGATCTCTCACCAGCAACCTTTCTGCCATGGCTACCACTGGTTAAGCCCTCAGGGTCATTGACACACACAAACCCCACCATCATAAGGTGGGGATATCAGGGTGGGGACTTAATCACTAATGCAATAATAACAGCATTAACTGCTGCTATAAACTGCAACTGAGATAGCTGCATGTCTAATGCATCTATCTCAGTTGCATGACAGAGACTGCAGGGTAAGACAGGCTCACAAAATTCACACAAATGCAGTTAGGTTCAAGGTCATATGATGACATAATCTCCTCCCTAGCTTGCAAATACTTGCAAAGAAAAAAAAAATAAAGTCAGATACTTTTTGATTGGATCTTGTATATTATTTGATGATAATAATAATAATAAATAAATATTCAAATTATGCATTTTTTAATTATTTAACCTGTTTTTTTAATGTTAAATTTAATAAAATCAGAGTTTTCTTTAACTGCAGTCTTATTTACTTACTCTACTTAATATTAACTTACATTTTAAGAATAATGAACTGATAAGTTAAAAAAAATTTAATAATTTAAATTTAAATAAAATGGTTAAACAAATTATTATAGAATATTGTTATTTATTCAATAAGTTTCTAAGTATTTCTTGATCATAATATTAGAATCAAAAAAATTTATTTAAAAGAAAATAATTAAAATTATATTAATAAACATTTTTATTTTTAAAGAAAAGTGTTTATTTATATACTTTTAATAATTTTTAATATTAATCTTTTAAGAAAAATTAGCATTATTTAAGAAATAAAAATAGCATTTTAAATACATAATGTTATTTTTAATTTTTCTAACAGGACATCAAGGCTGAAGCATCAAGACAATTTCATTCAGAATTTTCAACAATTATTCATAAACCAATTGAAATTTCTGAAAAACAAGTCACAACAATTCATACATCTTCTCCAAAAATTATTAGAAAGGAGATAATTGAAAGTCCAAAACTTCAAAGACGGACAATTAATGGAAAACCTCCCATATTCACAGTTCCCTTAAACGATAGCCAAGTGCAAGAAGGATCCAAATTTGTATTTTATTGTCAAATTGAAGCCGGCCATAATCCTATAGTAGGTTACAGAAATTTATTCAAAATATACATAAATCATTATTTTGGATAGAATCTTTTTAATGCTATTCTACACTATATTGCACAAAATTACATT